TGACCCCTAGCTCCGAGCCCAGCCCCTCTGAGCCGGGCACCCCCTGACCCCATCCCCTCCAGCCCTGACCCCTAGCTCCGAGCCCAGCCCCTCTGAGCCGGGCACCCCCTGACCCCCTCCCCTCCAGCCCTGACCCCTAGCTCCGAGCCCAGCCCCCTCCTGAGCCGGGCACCCCCCTGACCCCACTCCCCTCCAGCCCTGACCCCTAGCTCCGAGCCCAGCCCCTCTGAGCCGGGGCACCCCCCGACCCCAGAGCCCAGCTCCCCACCCTAGCCCTGGGCAACACTAGCGCCACCCCCAGGCAGTGACAGCCCATTGGCACCAACCAGCACCATCACTCAGCGACAGCTCATTATGTAATTGCAAATGTATACATACCATTAAAGTATTTAATGTTTTTAATAATGTATTTCGTGTATTTTCAAATTATTAAAAAATAATTTTTGAACGTATTTCACTGGTTATTTTTTACATTTCCAAATACATGTTACTATAGTATTGCAACTTTTTTTAATGGAAGGGGCCCCCGAAATTGCTTTGCCCCAGGCCCCCTGAATCCTCTGGGCGGCCCTGGGAACAGGATATATAAAATATCAGCTCAGATTCCGTACAGTTTGCTATTTGACAGGGTTTCAGGTGTAGACAGTAACAACAGTAAGAGTCTTTATATCATAGCGGCTATCCCAAGGTGGAGCCAAGCCCCAGTTAAAGTACATGATGCTAATAGTCTGGGAAACATGATAAACAATACCTACGTGCAACATTATCCCACTGTGCACCTGGTAACTGAAACAGGTTTGGCAATTAACCAGGCTTGCGGCACCAAAAATAATGGGTAGTGACTATGTGAGTGCTATGCTACTAGAGACATTGATAATAAAAAAGGTATTGGTACAAAAAGAATTGGTCAATGAGGCGGTACGAATAAAATATGTGGTTTGCGTGTTGGGATATAAAATTTCACCATGCACAGACAAAATTGTCCTGGGGATACTACGGGTTTTTTGTGTACAGGTAACCAGCACAGTCCAGATTGGAGCTTATGATTTCTGGCCAACAAGTGATGTGAGCACTCTGTCAACTCACGACTCCTTCTAGGTGACATAAATGATTTATTGGTCAAATTGGTCCCCCCCACACACACACACTTGTGCAATTACCATTGGATAGGTATGATTTGGTAACAAGAAACAAAGAAGCTTTAGCTAATCTAACCCAACAGCAAATCAAAGAACTACCAAGTGTACAAGTGGAAACACCCTGGTGGGCAGTTCTAGAGGCTGTTACCCTGCACCCAACAGTTAGAACACTCAGCCTACTGTTCATGGTAATACAGGCAATTACTGTAATTGCCCTAATGGGAATGTGTTGCTAGCCGCAGGCAGGTCTACACTACCGCTTAAATTGATGCAACTTACGTAGCTCAGGGGTGTGAAAAAGACTCCGCCCTGAGCAACACAAGTTACTGTGTCCATACTAGTGCTATGTTGGTGGGAGACGCTTTCCCGCTGACCTAGCCTAATTATGCTGATGGAAGAGCACTCTCTCGTCATCATAGTGCGTCTTCACCAGATGTGCCAAAGCTGCGCCAATGTAGCACTTCTAGTGTAGACCAAGTATCAGAGGGGTAGCCGTGTTAGTCTGTATCCACAAAAACAATGAGGAGTCCGGTGGCAAACTTAACACCATTAATTTGTGTTTGAATAAGGACTGGGAGTGGCTGGCTCACTACAAAAGCAATTTTCCCTCTCTTAGTATTGACACCTCCTCATTAGTTATTGGGAGTGGACCACATCCACCCTGACTGAATTGGCCTTCAACACTGGTTCTCCACTTGTAAGGTAACTCCCTTCTCTTCATGTGCCAATATATTTATGCCTGTATCTGCAATTTTCACTCCATGCATCTGAAGAAGTGGGTTTCTTACCTATGAAAGCTTATGCCCAAATAAATCTGTTAGTCTTTAAGGTGCCACTGGACTCCATGTTGTTTTCATGAATACCTAGTGTCTAATACTTCTTAGGAGTGTCTGTGTTTTAGCAACACCAGCCATATTCTTAGCAAGTTCATGTACCCGACCGTGAACGTGTAAGGTGGCATTTGCTTTAGAGCAGGGCCTGACTCTTGGTCATAACCTCACTCTTGCTGATTTTGGTTCAGGCCTTATGTCTTGAACCAGGCCATGTGTTTCAGGCTCACTCTCTTCTTTAGATGCATGGAGTGAAAATTACAGATGCAGGCATTATATACTGACACATGAAGAGAAGGGAGTTACCTCATTCATGTAAACACAGTCCAGAAGGGTAGTACCCGATACAAAGTTGTGGTATAAACACACTCCCTGAAAATGGTACAGGGACACACTGACCCTCCTGAAGAGAAGGTCAGGATGGCAGGATAACGGATGGGGATGTTTTGATTGAACCAACAGGTACAAGGTGTAAGGTGGTCATTAACCACGTCAGAAAGTTACTAGGTAACTTGTTTGTATCTGTATAAAAGAGGGGTCACAGAAGGAGTGTCTTTGTCCAGCTGAGGGGACAGTGGAAAGTCCTACCACTGCCTGAGCTGAGTCTGTTGTCACGGACATCCATGTATTAGTGGCCCTGTAGAGTCTGCCAGGTGCTAGTTCCATGCCTTATTGGCAATAAACCTGGCCACACGCCTTCGCCACTGAACCGAGTCTGAGGTCTTTCTGGGACTGAGATCTGCTGTGCCGGCGATCTGGCCAGAGCCAAAAAAGCACACAGGGAGAACACATGCATGCAGCCAACGGACAACACTAGGCTCAGCGTTGTGCTGCCTGATTCAGGAGCCTAAACCGCTGACGTGGGCTGGGAGGCATGCTCCCAGCCGCAGTGCAGACATACTGCTGGTTCCTCACTTTCCAAGTGAACTACGTCGAGTTCTGTTTAATCGGCTTCCGTGACCGATAAACCCTGCCCCACTGAATGTCCCTAGGGCGTCGGAGGCGGGGAGGAGGTGGAAGGCCCAGGGAACTCCCAGAGCACGCGCCGTGTTCCGGCTTGAGGCAGGTGCCCTTACACAGCAGAGAATGGAGATGGTGCTGCTGGTGACATTGCTGAGGAAGGTGAGCAGGGAACTGGGGCCTTTGATGGAATCTCCACCCAAGTTCAGCCTGAGGCGAGGCCGGGGGGAGGGGCACGGATGGAGCCCCCCTGTCGGAGACCCAGCTATGACGACGGTAAGGGATGTGCATAGTGGGGTGGATAAAGACCAGACAAGCACTGATTGACAGGTTGAAGGACCAGAACTGGATTCCGGAGGCTCACCACAATGGATCCTGGGTGAAGAGGGAGAAGAACCAGAGCTGGACTCCCGAGTGCCATGGAATGGACTCTAGGCACAGCCGCTCCAGGAGGAGGGACGGCTTATTGCGTTCATTTCCCCTCGAGCTCTTCAATGAGGAACTTGTGCTTGGCCTTCAGCACCTGGTAGAGCCGGTCCTTGCAGCCCCGGTTCCAGCTCGGCATGAGCTCATACAGCTTCCGCATCTTCTCCAGGTTGCTTCTCTCGGCTCGGATGCTCTGGTACTGCTCGTTATCCAGCACGGTGCCACACAGCATGTCCAGGACCCCATCCACCATAGAGACCCGTTGAATCAGCTCTGCTCGGTGCCGGTCCACAAAATGTCCCCCTGCGGAGGAGACACCAGAAGGCAGTGAATTGATACAGCGTCTCATGCTATTTGCTTCCTTGGAGTGCCTAAGCTCCAACCAGGATGCATGGGAGCCCCTCCTCCATCTCTCCCCTGCCTTTTCCTGCTTCTTCTCCCCAAGGGGTTTGCCTGTTATAATCCAGAGATGTTGCACCTTGAGCCCCGTATCTCACCTTCAGCACTGACTGGGCCTCCTGTCTGTGCTCCGGGCCTGGGGATAGCCACATCTGCTTGGAAGCCTGTAGGAGGAGACCAGAAAAAGTCATTACAAAAACCAATGATGCCTTTTGGGCTTGTAGGGAAATTACAAAGGAGGGGACCCACCAGCTTTCTGCAGTCCCTACAGCGGCTTCCCTCTCTGCCGTTTCAACATTCTACCACTTGAGGGAGCTGTTTCTGCAGGAAACGGGCTACCAGGGACTGCAGCAACCCAGAGAGGGGCCTTTATTTCCCACGCATCCTTCACCATGCTACGTTATTCAGGCAAAACGGTAGGTCTTAATAAGCCTTAACTCAAGCCCTTAGTGTCCTGACTCAGGTTCTCTGAGATCAATGGGAAGTTTGTCCTCTCAAGGGCAGAGCACTGGAAACTGGATCTGGCCCAGATCAAAACCCATGTTATTTTTAACTTAATAAAAAATGTAAGTGACACTGATGAATCTCACCGGTTTGTAACCCCATGATGATAGGCTCCAGGGCAGGGAAGGTGAAGCACAGGTTACTCAGACAATCCAGGAACAGCTGATGGGCCTGGTCCCCTTTGGCCAGCACCATATCAATCAATGTGGCGACCCTGATCTCTGGATCCTCCAGCCGGTTCAGGGCGAGGTACTCTCCCTGCGTGAGGAGGAGGTGGGCGTCGGCTGCGCTGACCACGGCCTCTGCATCGCTCTGGAGGATTGTCATTAACTCGCTTCTCAGCCTCCCAGGAGCCCCCACTCGACACCTTTGCTGACCAGTCACAGTGCCTGGAATGGAATGCAAATACATCTGTACAAGAAGACAGTTGGAAGTGTGGTAGTTCCCTGCAGATATGCTGGTATCTAGGGATTTAATCACATAACGAGTCATTAGCCATGAAGTGAGGTCAGGAATTTAACACGATTCACTAAGGGACTGGCCTTTTAGATAGATAACAAGAATATCCAGAGAGACAAGATGAGCGAGGTAATATCTTTAATTCGACCAACTTCTGTTGGTAAAAAAGACAAGCTTTCGAGCCGTAGAGAGCTCTTCAGGTCTTGTGAAGCTGAAGGCTTGTCTCTTTCACCAACAGAAGTTGGTCCAATAAAATATATTGCCTCACCCACCTTGTCTCTCTCATATCCTGGGACCAACAGGGCTACAACACCACTGAAATCAAGAATATCCAGTTATCATAACTGAGAACAATTTTGGAAGGGATACCAAACCCTGTGCGTCAGGACTTAAGCTGATCTCTCACTATTACAGACCAGGATGAGACGGAAGGTCATGGGTAGATTACTCCGCATCTATTATTGTGGGTTCTTATGCTTTCCTTTGAAGCATCTGGCACCAACATGCTCAGAGACAGGACACTGGACTATATGGACCTCAAGTCTGATCCATTCTGGCAATTCCTATGTGGTGGAAAAAATTCACTGTTTTTTTTAAATCTGACCTTAATATTTAAATTTTCCAGCTTTCCAAGAAAAATTTTACTTTTAGATTCTATGCTCATTCAGGGTTTCTACCCATCAAGAAATTGATAAATATTCATTCATAGATTCTAATGCCAGCAAGAACCCTAATCAAGATAATTTAATCTGACCCCTGAATAACACAGGCCATAGAACGTCCCTGGATTAATTCCCATTTGAACTAGAGTGTTTTGACCCTCTTACACTCTATCTATCTAAGGTACTTATCTGGCACCACCTCCATAGTATCTGAGTGCCTTATAATCTTCAATGTATTTATCCCCAGTGGCGCAGGGCAGGGCTATTTATCCCCATTGAACAGATGGGAAACTGAGGCACACAGAGGCTAAGTGATTGGCCCAAGGTCATGCAGAAAGTCTGGCAGAGTAGGAAATTGAGCCTGGCTCCTTCCTTGCCATCCGTGCACTGTGGCTGGACACTGACACTAGACAAATGCAAATGGGAAGCGAAGTGCAATGTTTTCTAACAGGAAAGGGAATTCGCTCTTGGACCCTTATGTAGATGGTCAGCTGCTCTTTGGGAAAGGAAGATGTCCCAGGTTTGTACAATCCTGAGTGCACTGGGCTCCTGGTCCGTAACCAGATGATCAGGAACGTTTTGACAAAATGTTTTTTTTAATTGAAAAGTGCTGATGTGACAGATCTGGCAATTTCCTGCACTATCTTTGGGAGAGTTTACTGGTCTAAGTTTATGTGGCATTGTGGACCAGAGAATGTATGTAATTCCATGGGTGAGGCTAACTACAGCCCTGCCAGGAAATAAGAACAGTATGTGTGTTGGGGGGCGGGGGAGGGGGAGATTAGGCAAATTTTATCAGGTTGAAACACCTCCAGTGAGGCACCAGCACCTGGAGAGACTGGCATAGACTAGTTCAGACTGGATTCTCCAGAGACCAACAGACAAAGAAAGGACTGTTGGATAAATAGCCTGAGTTCAAACTGACTCAGGGCCTTCTTCCAGATCCAGCAAGCAGACAGGACCTTCAGTCCAAGGGGGCCCCAATCCTTCCTGGGAGAGGTTGGAAGGATTTCGGCCTACTGAGGCCCCATAAGACTGATGGGTAACTTCTGGGAAGCTTGTAGCCTGCATATAGGAACTCGGATTGATTTTAATATGTCGGTGCAGTAATGCTTTCACCTTAAGAATAAATGTGCTTGCTTATAAAGGGCTGTGTAGTAACTTATAACTGCTGGCAATTACATTGTTCATAGCCTCTGAGGAGAAAGCAAAGCACAGAAGCTGGCCTGTTTAGGTAGCCAGGCTTGCTGGGAATATCACAGTGTGGGCAGGGAACTGTGCAGCCTGGAAAAATCCTGCTTAAGAGGGAGAGAGACACGGGTCTCTGCCCAAGAAGGTGATGGCTGGGGAGCTAGAGGCACAATTGAAACAAAGCATTCTGGTTGACCTGACCAGTATTTTTTTTTCAGATTTCCGGTTCTTGAAAATTTTCAAGACTTTTCATCCTGATTTGGAATGGGGAAATTTGCTGCTATCTTGACATTTTTTACAAGATGGGAAAACCATTTCCCACCCAGCTCTACTCCAAAAAGACAAATAACGGGTTTGCCCAGCGCCGTAAGCTGCGTTAGCTGCGCAGAGGCCAATCTAACTGTTCCA